TGGTTGTTGTAACCACCTGAAGTAGCCCCCACTGAAATCTTTTATCTTTTAATTGTGTTAAAATATATATTACATAATATTTACCATTTTAACCATGTATAAGTGTATAATTCAGTGACATTAAATATATTCACAATGTTGTCTAACTACACCTCTATCTATACCCAAAACTTTTTTTATCACCCCCAAACCAAATTTCTATCCAGTAAACTGAAGCTCCCCATGACCCCCTTCCTCCAGCTCCTAGCAACCTCAGTCCTACTTTCTATCTCTATGAACTTGCCTATTCTAGGTACCTCACATAAGTGGAATCATACAATATTTGTCCTCCTGTGTCTGGCTTATTTCATTAAGCATAATATTTTCAAGGTCCATCCATGTGGCAGCATAGATCAAAATTACACTCCTTTTTATGGGTGAATAATACTCCATTGCATGTGTGTGTGTATATACCACATTTTATTTATCTGTTCATCTGTTCATGGACACTAGGATTATTTCCACCTTTTGGCTATTGTGAGTAACGCTGCTATGACTATTGTGTATGAATATCTGTCCAAGTCAGCATTGCGATGTTAAGCCACAGTGCACCATTCCTAGACCACAAATCCCTCTACCCTCTCAGTCCCTTGCCTGGTTGTCAAGAGCACAGCCCGACCTGCCATTAAGCAATGGTATGACCTTGCTGCCATTAAGCAATGATATGACCTTGATGCCATTAAGCAATGGTATGACCTTGATGCCATTAAGCAATGGCATGACCTTGAGCAACTTGCTGAAGATGTTTGCTTGAATTTCTTCATCTATAAAGGCAGCGAGAGAGCACAACTCTCAGGATTGTTGTGAGAAGTTAATGTGTCTGGTCCCTAGGAAGCTTCCCATGAATGTTGGCAATAATCATTAATACTACTCTTCTTCCACCTTTTCAAGACAAGCTTAATGTCTCCAGTTCCCCCAGATAAGCCTCCTTTGGGCTTCACTCCCTGCTCCATCCAACTAAGACCTATAGTCCATTTCTCCCATTCGTCTTTTGCCAATACTATCACTATCCTTGGCTCCTTGACCTTCTGCCAAACCTGTTAACCTTTGTAATAACCAGCATCTACATTCCAGGTTGAACATGATTAAAGAAGATCACAAAATTCTGCTGCCTGGTGCCACGATACAGAGTAAAAAGCATTATCGGAGGGAAGTAATAGCTCAGTGGTAAGAGTGCATGCTTAGCATGCACAAGGTCCTGGCTTCAATCCCCACGACCTCCATTAAAAAAAGAGGCAGGGGCATTATCAACCCCAGTATTGTTTCTAAGCCTTGGAGTCAGCTGCTCCTTCTGGTTCCCACCAAGACTAGTGCAAATTTCCCTGGTCTCTTCAAGTCTGCTCTTCTGATATCTCCTCTCTCCCAGTAGTCATGACCCAGACTCCAACTTCACAGAAAAAAATAAGGAATCCACCTGGAGGCAACTGAGCATCATTCTCACTAGCTCTGGACCTGCGCCATCCTCTGCCTATCCATACATCCGTAACAAATTCCCATATGCCTTCTAGAAGTGTCCCTTCTCGTCGGCAAAGCTGGAGGTCTCAGCCCCTCCTGCTTCCCCTGGGGTCTTGGCCCACAAGCTATTCCTCCTCTCCCCGGCACCTGCCTCTGCTCCCTCTCTACGGCAACTCTACCTCCCGTGGTCAAAAGCAACTTCCCCCAATCTTACGTGATCCTCTGACGTCTCCCGCCTCCTTCCCATTTCAGCTATCTCCTTCTTTAGCACAGTCTGGTTTCCACCTTACACCCTGAAACCCCTGCAATGAAGGTCACCAATGACTTCCAAGTTGTTGAATCCAAGAGCTACTTTTTTACTTCATCTGTGTTGCATTTGGGGCTGTTGATACTCCCTTTGCCTTGAAATTCCTCGCCCAAGGCCTCTGTGATACTCTGCTACCCAAACTGTCTCCTGGCCTCTCTGGACACTTTTGTTTCCATCACTTTCAGAGACTGTTCTTCCTCTTAGGGAAGGTTTTGTTGGTTATTCCAGGTCTACCTCGCAGATCCACTCTCCACCCTGCTCTGCCCCACGGGAGGCTGATCACTAAGGACTGAATCATCCAGTCTCACTCACCCTATGGCTTCTGGTTGGCTTTGGCCAACGAATGGTACTTGCAGAAGAATAAAGGGTAACATAAAGGGATGTTAGGGTATTTATACCCTCACACACATACACACACCATTAGCTGCTTCTCCCTCACCACCAGGGTTCTGTGACCATAGCTCTGGGTGGGTGGCCCATTTTCCATGTTTCCAGCTTTTCCTGGGCTACAGAAACACCATTCTTTCATTTTGCCACTTCATGCCTAAGGATGGAAACAGCTTCCCACCATTGCTAGCCCTCGAGTGCCTCCCCATCCCTTACAGCGTAACAGGTGAAAACAAGTCTGACTTGATATTGCATCTGTTTCTTGTACTTCAGCCTTTGTATTCTGCTGCTTTTGCTACAAGTTAATCACTAAAGGGTTGTTGCCTGTGGCTTAAAGCATACATGATGTTCCGTCTCTGGGAACCCTGCCTCCCCTGCCTGAGCTTAAGCTAAAATACCTTTGTTTAGTTCACAGGAAGCATCCTGACCAGGATGTGAATGGCTGCAGGAAAGAAGAAATTAACACATCCCTTCCACAGTCTGAACAGAACCAGGAAATATTTACAGCAACGTATCACCTTTTTACCTCACCTCCTCCTCTTTTTTCTATAGAAGAAACTAGCACCCAAATCCAGGCAAGATGGTTCTTTGGGACATTAGTCCACCGTCTTCCCAGTCAACTGGCTTTCAATATAAAGTTGCTATTCCTTGCCCCAACAACTCGTCTCTTGATTTACTGGCCTGTCTTGCTGCAAACAGTACAAGCTTGGAGTTACTTAATTCTGCCCTCATTTCTGTCCCAACACTTAACTCCAAGTCCTGTCCACAATTACTGGCATAGAGAAGGTTTAACAGATGTTTGTTGAATGCATGAAGGAAGAGAACTTATATTTTAATTTATTTTAGACTCTCTCTATCCAGCTTTCTTTCTGCTGCCCATAATCAGTGGGAAAGAATTTCAGGGTAAGTTTGTATGGTATCCAAAACAATATATCCCAAACACACACACGCACACACACACACACACACGCATCACATCACATCTACTATAGAAACAAAAATTGACAACTTGGCCTTGCTTTCCATGATTAAGCATGTCACATGCCAAGGTAGAGGGAGAACACTTTGCG